AGACGCCCAGATTAGTGCCGTCCTTCCATCACTATCCCGAGCATGAACGTCTGCCCCCTTGTCGATAAGAAGCCGCGCTACCGCCTCATGCTCGTTCTCAGACGCCCAGATTAGTGCCGTCCCTTTATTGTTGGTCTGAGCATTGACGTCCGCCCCCTTGTCGATAAGAAGCCGCGCTACCGCCTCATGCCCCTTCTCAGACGCCCAGATTAGTGCCGTCCTTCCATCACTATCCCGAGCATGAACGTCTGCCCCCTTCTCGATAAGAAGCCGCGCCACCTCCTCGTGTCCGTCCTGAGATGCCAGCATTAGTTCCGTCCGTCCAAATTTGTCCCGAGCATTAAAGTCCGCCCCGTTGTTGAGGAGAAGCTGCGCCAGAGGTCCATGCCCGTTTGCTAAAGCCCGTGCAACTGGCGTATGGTCTTTTCTGTCATGTTCAGATGTGTCTACCCCTTGCTCAAGCATTGCTGTAACGATGCTTAGCCTGCCCTCTTGCGCAGCCCAGGACAGAGGTGTCCGGCCTTTGTACCTCTCCAGATCCTTTCGGTGCTTCAAACCTTCAAATATATCAACACCGTCACAGGTCATGGAGGGTAAGCCTAAGAGGGCCGCCGCTGTGACTTTGTGGCCGCCAGCAAGCGCGGCGAAGAACGGATAGCCATAGGTTTCCCCTGGAATACAGGCGGCCGACTCCCTCTTCGACTGCGTGCGAACGAGTCTCTCCAGTCCTTTGTCTGCAAGAATATAGATAGGGGTCGCATAACAACCATACCGCCGGGACTTAAATCTCTCGAAAAGATTGACCACGCGGACGCCGTCCGAAGCGAAAAAATGGGATAGAAATTCATCCTGGGGAATGATAGCCGCCGCCTCATTGGCATGAGGGAGCACTTGCTGGCTAGCATAACCCAGAAACAAAAACCTTTCGTCCGGGGTGCCCTGTTCGCTTGTATCCTCAGTGCTATTGAAGATCGCTCGCACCTCTGGAAGAGATAGATAGGTAACACAGCAGCGCTTAAGCCGCTCATGGCTGTGGCCCTCCCACTCGAATCCAAGGTCGGGCCATATCTCCCGGAGGCCGTTTTCTTTAACCAAAAAGTCACGCACCGACTCGTGGATGAACTGTACCGTTGGCTGCTTCGACTTGGTGACTTCGACAAGGCCCTTGGAAGAACTCGTAACCAGCGCGACGGCATCCTGGTCCGTATTGTCTGGCAGATCGGGGTCCGACAGGCGCTGATCTAATAAGCCCGCCCACACGGCGTGGCGGAACTCGCCTGGACTCAGAGGCCGCTTTGCGCAGAGCACCCAGAGAATGCAGATCAGCAGTCGTTCCGGTTCCTTCTCATCACGCGCCAAGATGCTCCTGAACAGGTCGCTTAGCTTGGGCGGGATCCCCGCGAGCCTAGTCCTGAGAGCAAGCGCACCCTGTCTGCTTTCTTCGTTCAGGATGTCCACTACTAGCACGATCCACATGAAGATACCGGCAGCCTTGTCTAGAATTTGGGACTGTAACTCTGCAAGGAGCGAGCGGCTGTGAATCTTGAGACGAGTCTTAACGTACTCGGCAAGGTCATCTCCATGTCCCAATTCATCCTCGAGAACGAGTAAGGCTCCCCGGTGCATGTCAATATACGGGTAGGGCCGGCTCGAGAAGCAGACGCGGAACTGGATGCCACCTTCGGTAGTTATCTCGGCCAGGTCCTCGAAAAACTCGACCATGTCCCGCACTTCCTGCTCGTCGCACTCGTCGAGGGCGTCGATAAAGGAGGTGAAGGAGCGCTGGCCGAGAGCCGTGACAGCGCTCCTGAGGAGCTCCTTTAGGGCATTTATATTAGGACAGTCTTGCTGGCTTCTGGGGACGATATCGGTGTCGTCCAGCACGGACTGGAGGTATGGGAACGCCTTGAGGAGCTGCACCAGGAGGGATCGGTACATGCCTGCCACGGACTTTTCTAAGTCTTCGCCCCGCGCATTAAAGAAGAAGGACGCGACCGCTGTGCTGGCGTTTCTCGACCGTTTCTTCGTCTGTAGATAACGTTATATGAATTTCATTATGGTCGACTTTCCGGCACCTGCCTTGCCCCGCATCCTGTCACAAGGCTCGATTGTGTTGTATTTATTGATGTTCTGATCGAGTGTCCCACAAAATCCCTCAAGCTGTAAGCCCCTTACAAAATCCTTCATAGATCCACACC